CCCCCCCCCCCCGCCCGAACGCTTTGTTGCGTCTTGGAGCCAACATCATTTCTCGCCCGAACACCATTACTCAGCCAAAGGTGAAGACTTGTTTTCCTTATGGCCAAAAATGAGACACTAAAGTTTCTTCTCCGAGGTCGGACTCGGCCAACAACAAAAAATTAGGTAGTTCAAAGTACGAGGGGGTATACACCAATAAAAGAAAGAAATACAACACCTTTCGGTCATAACGCGCTCAAGAAACATTCGACTCAACCAACCTACATCGGATCGGCCATTCAGGAAGCCTTAAAAGCAAAACGAATGTAAGGAATTAATAGAACAAAAAAGGTCTGAATAGGTCATAAAGAAAATTCATTGAGGGCTCTTTGGCCACAAAACGACTCTAATGGCCAAGAACTACAATCATTTCATAGCCCAAATGGCCGAAAACAATCAAGTAAAAAAGCAAAAGGCAAAGCCCTATATCTATACATCATTCACAAAACAGATGTATGAGCAAAAAGGAGGAAACACAAAAATCCCTATTTGGCATTGTCGGTCTGCTCGGTCTCCTCGTCGTCGTTCAAAGTGGTGTTGGGGTCTTCTGGAGCTGCCGACCGGGGAGGAGCTGCTCGATCAGGCTCAGCATCGGCATCGGCCTCGGCATAGTCCAAGTATACACCTTGGAAGAAATCCTTGCTGAGTTCAAAGGAGAAATCCGTAGGAAAAGTGCCGAAATGGGTCGCCTGTCGATGGATTGGTGAAGGGACGACTTGGTCTCTTCCAACCTTTTCCTCAATCGATGCACCTCGGCCATAGGCTCCAGAGCCAACTTCCGAAGGATGGCCATCGCCCTAATCTGCAACTCGCAAGCCATCGCCCATTGGGCCGAAGAGGTGGCCGAATCAAGCATTTGGTGCCCATGTTCCGACAGCAAGTCTGACGACATCATTTGAGCCAGACGCACCTCCTCGGATAAAAAGTCCTTGGCCACTATTGCCGATGGGATGGCCAAGTCAGTTAATGTCGCCTCGGCCTGCCGTTGCTTGGGCCTAGTGGTTTCAGCAACAGACGCATCGGCCTTCCTCTTCCCTTTATCCCTCTTCTTCTTACCAGATTGTTCCGGAAGGGCAATCACATGAGGGGCAGGAGGTGGAGCGACCATGGTAGTCGGCGTTGCATCCACCGCAACGTTTCTATGTTGTTCGGCTGAAGTACCGGCGGGGGCTCGGTTCCTCATAAGTTGACGATAGGAGAGGCCGGCACCGTGTTGAGCCATCCAACCTACAAAAGGACAAGTCACAAATCAACCTAACAAGATCAATCGAATAAGAAAATTACCACTTACCCTCTAACTCAGACCGAGGCCGAGGCGACTTGAGCAACAATATCAGGAACCGAGCCGGGATTCCCTGAGGTAATCCGTTCAGGATGAGTGAAGCCAATACCTCGGCCTCGGTCATCATCTCCAACGGAAACTCGTCATACTTCCGCGGTTGTGTAGTCCAATACAAAGGAAAAAGAGGGTTTCCTTCGGCATCAAAGAAATAGTTTTGGCCGGCGTGGGGGTCTATCATCACTTTCACAAACCCTGACTTAAAACCCTTAAATGAGGAAGTATACGGCCTCATTAGTGGCCGGTCGACATGACGAATAAGAGACAGCCATTTGACAAACTTATTTGAAGGACGAGTACAAAAATAATGCAAAAATAAACCTACGCTAGGTTCTACGTAATGATATCTACAAAGCACCCAAAATGCTTGCATATACGCCCACCCATTCGGATGCAATTGAGTCGGCGCAACGTTCAGAACTCTAAGCACTCCCATGTGAAAGTCGTCCAACAGAAGAGACACCCCGAGCTCCCGGAAAAGACACTCATACATATAAAAATAGTCACCTTGACCCTCTCGCTTCGCAAGGAATACAAGGTCTAACTCCCCAGGGCCTTCGGCCCGGCACCGGTGCAACTTGATCGGATAGGGCTCCGAATCCATCCACCGAGCCATTGTGCACACGGTGATAAGGTGCTCCACGGCACTCCTCGCATGAAAATGGGAGAAATAGGCGGCAACTTCGTCGTCCACCCACTCGTAGCCAGGAACTTCACATAGAGGAAATTTCTGCCTATAGTCTTGACGACTCATCTCGGCGTCCGGAATGTCCGACCCGGATGAATTGGCCGATTCCCCACTAAAACTAAGCCCTAATTCCGGGGAACCCCCCTCGGCCTCGGCGTTGAATGCCAACACCTCGGTCTCTACATCAACTGACAAAACCCTCGTACTCGAGGACGACCCTGAAGACAAATCAATCGTTTTGGTAGCCATTGACAAAATGAAATACAAATCTACCTTTTTCAATGAAGCACTCGGGTCAAAAACCGAAGAGGATCTCGGGGTAGAGAATTTCAAAGTATAGAAAGCGTACCCCCATCTATGTCTCACCCCTATATATATAGGCAAACCCTAAACCCTAAACCCTAAACCCGAAATTCCAAAGGTCCCTAATTAATGCACCTGCAACTGAAACGACGCCAGCCAAGGGCTCAAAACCCAAGGGCGGCTGCGCATGCAACGGTCACTGTCACCAAGGGTCACGACTCCCGAGACGAGTACGGAAACCCTAGAAACCCACCAAATCTCTTCAAACCCCTTCGTCTTTCCTCCTTGGGCTTGGGGGGCAGTGTACTAGTAGGCACCTCCTCGGCCAGCTGATGGGCCGAAACAACCACCAAAACCTAAAGCATCACCCATTCGGCCCTTGACTTAGCTAAATCCCCCTTCGGCCTTAGACTGGGCCGAAGCAGTGACAGGCCAAGAAGATAACTAGATAACTTTCCTATGGGGAACAAGGAAACTACTTAAGTTGCACAGGATACCTTTCAGCCTTAGGCCTGGCCGAATACCCCCTCAGCCTCGCTCCAGGCCGAAAACCCCCCTCGGCCTCGCTCCAAGCCGAACACTTCCTTCGGCTTCTACCCAAGACGAACACCCCCTCGGCCTTACTCCTGGCCGAATACCCCCTCGACCTTGCTCCAGGCCGAACACCCCCTCGGCCTTGCTCCTGGCCGAATACCCCCTCGGCCTCGCTCCAAGCCGAACACCCCTTCGGCTGCTGACTGAGCCACCGAGCCGAATGCCCTTCTCGGCCTTACGTTAGGCCGAGTGCAGGGAAAAAGGACAAACCATAGTAGACACGTGGAAAATTAGATATTCATTATACAACAATTACCACGCCTAATTAACAGAGATTAAGGTTAATCCCAGTATTACCCATCCCCCAAGACAGAAGGCCCCCTGGGCCCACACACGTCGCTATAAATACACAGGTGATGGGACATAAATGAGGTATGATTTATTCCATATAAAAGCACTATCTGCTCTGTACCGAATACTTACTTGATCGTTGGAGTACCTTTGCAGGTACCCTCCCCACCCACTAGAGACAGTATTCGGTCGGCCTGGAGACTTAGAAGATCAAGGAGAAGGAACGATAAGAGGAGTGTTTCTACGCAGGAACACATCCAAACAAAGCATTTCACCTTAAGGAATTTGAAATTCCTCAAATAAATGAAATACCCTATTTAAACCCCTCATCCAAACACATTTTTAGTGAAATCAAACTCTAACAATTATTATTATTATTATCTAAATTAAATTCTTTATTACTTTGTTACATGTTTTTTACGTTTATCATTCTATAAATTTTTATACTTCAAGTTAAAAATAAATAAATTTCTTAATACTAAAATTAAATTAAACAATAATAACTCAAGTCTTTGTGGATTTAATAATTTATAGTGTGTTTGGATGAGGAATTTTAAATTCTTGGTATTTGAATTATTTTGATTTCAATTTCTATCATTCTTAAAATATTTTGTTTGGATGAGTCAATTCAAATTTCTTAAATTTTAAATTATTAGGTTGAATATGATAATTTGATTCTACCATAGTAAAATTGATTTTAAAAATATATTTATATATTGATATTTTTAAATTAAATTTTATAAAAATAAATATTAATCCATTTTTAAATATTTAATAATTTTAAAAATTAATATTAGATAATATTTAATAATTTAAAAATTAATATAAGATAATATTTAA